GGTCGAGAGGTTGCGGGTTTTGCCTCTCATTCAATGGGTCCCGGGGTCGAATCCGGATACATGTAGCGATGGAAATTTTCCTTCTATAAAATTGTCTCCTATCACCTTCTTTCCTACTCTCTGACAATGTTCCGTCGTCGCCCCCACTTTCTGCCCCCACCCCCTTTTTTGGGCTCCTGACTCTTTCTGCAGCCTTTCTACTGCTACTCCTTGGCTCCTTCTTACTGCTGTCTTTCAGCCACACCCCTGATCTTATGGTAGGGTATCGGCGAAAATTCTCGGAGGTCCCGTGTGCAAGCTGCACACGCTAAAGATCCCCTAAAGGTGCAGAACCGATAGTAGGCTTCAGCCGCCACCCGGGCAAAAATTAAAAAATCCTACCAACTGAAAATGCTTAGTGTGTCCCCCGCGCTCATAATATGACCTTATGCAGTTGCGAGTGCCGGAAAACACTTACAAAAAAAAAAAAGAAGATAAAACAACATTAACAACCTTCGTAGCGCCTACTGAGAGCAGCAGGACCTCTTCCACCCTTCCCCCCAGAAGACCTGAAGATGTCTGTCGTAGCTTTGGAGAACGACCTCCCCACCTCAAACAAAAGAGATTTTTGTTTCATAACTTTTTTTCAGAATTACAAAATACCCAGCCAAGGCCGCTCAGCTCGTTACAGAGGAGATGCACAAAGTCAGCCATTGATCCATTGTTGTTTTGTTGTTGTTGTTGTTTTTTTGTTTGTTTGCTTGTTTGTTTGTTGTTGTTGTTGTTGGTTGTTGTTTTTTTTTGTTTTGGTTTTTTTTTGTTTTGGGGGGGGGGGTAAAATACAGTCTTTGTTATAAGACACATTCACAAGAACCATTAGACTACAATATGTCCTGGAAATACAAATTCAAAAGATTTTGTTGTGGAACGCATGTCGAGAATTTTAGTTTCTGATTTAATTATCCCCGTTGTCTTTATCATACGCACATCCACAAAACCCTTTTACTTTTCTTTTTTTTTGGTCAGGTTTTTTACGGCGCTCGCAACTGCAAAAGGTCATATGGGCACGCGGGACACACTAGACATTTTCAGTCGGTAGGAAATTTCGAATTTTGTCCGGGTAGTGGCCGAGGCCTACTTTTATCGATTTTGGACTACCAAGGGATCTTTAACGTGCGCAACTTGCACACGGATACTCCGATATTTTTCTACCTTATACGAGAAGGCTGGATGTAGATCTTTCCTACCAAAAGATTAGGGGTGTGATTGAAAGACAGCAGTAAGAAGGAACCAAGGAGTAGCAGTAGAAAGGCTGCAGAATGAGTGAGGAGCCCAGAGGAGGGGGCAAAGGAGGTAAGAGTTGTGGGGACAGAAACTGGAGACGAAAGCAGGTGGCAGATTTCTGTTAGAGAGCATTAAAGGATGTGAAAGGAGAACATTTTAGACAAGAAAAATGTTCGTCACTTTCCGGATTCCAACACGAAACCTATTAAATGAGAAGCGAACACCATAACGTCTCGACTATGAGAGCACCCCTTCCCCCCCTTTTTCCCCCCTATTTTTAGACTATGACATGTTTTGGAAGGGTTAAATAAGTTTTATTGGGTTGATGGAGCGCACACAATCGCCGTTGAGACAGATTCTTTCCGTTGTTAAAAAGCGCTCTGCTGTAGCTGCCAGTTTCTCTAGTTGAAAACTTTTGCAATTTTCATGGCTGAAGGATGTTTCTCAATCAAGGGACCCACAGTGTTGAGAAAGTGAAGACATGTTGGTTTTTCCATTCTCATCTAATTTTTAAAGACGTGTTTAAAGTCACGAAGCCCTTCCAGGATATTGCTCATAATGGAACAAAGGTTCAGTAATCTAGCATTGTAACAGGAATATCTACATAAATACATAGTGAAATGAAACATTTCTTATCTTAATCTCACGTTCCCCTCTGTGTCTGTCTGTCTGTCTGTCTGTCTGTCTGTCTGTCTGTCTGTCTGTCTGTCTGTCTGTCTGTCTGTCTC